TTAATCGTATATAAATGTTTATTTTCAACGATGTTGATTAACCTTTGGTAGATGTCTACTAGAGCTATTATATATTTTGTATGCGTCAAGAAATAAGTGAATATTTGTAGATCAATAGTGGATATATAATTTTCATCTACAATAGACATAGATATTTATGTATATCTATTAGATATTTTTTTAGGTGGATGATAAACGATATACGTTTGCTATACCTATAGACCTAATTTAGACGATTAATTTACGTATATTCCACTTCATGGGTTGCCTAAGTGGTTTCTGACTTAGGATCATAACTTGGGTAAAGAAGTTTAGATTTGCTCGTACTAGTCGCGCAACGAAGAAATGTTGATCTCGACTGTTACTAACTTCGACGCGAAATAAATCTTTATTTATTTGACTATTTATTTCAACGGGAGGATCGTAACAATGGTGCGGCCGCGGAACGGAAGAAATGACGGAAAGGAAATACACGAGATGAAATTGTAAAGAGTCGACTTCGATTTATTAATGGTCAGTGCGGATTTAATTAATTTCATGAGGAGAAGACACGGTTGATATATCTGATATTATACTTTATTATATTATATTTTATTCAACTCGCGAGGGCGAGTTGACTAACCGCGGCGACGTGCATAAATCACTTTTTCCTTTAATCGTTTTCAAAAGATTAAAGAATCTTGGACTGCAATTATTATACCTGAATGTACTCCCCACATTTCGAAATATATGTTGGAATATTCTCATTATCTAATAATTAAGCTTTATTAAAAAAGTTGGTCAATTTGCCCCGGTCTCCCCTATCTCCACGTTAAAATTACACGAATCGACTCTTGATCTGTGTTAAGTCTTGAGCGAATGTCCAGGGCCTCTAATTGTCTTCCATCAATATTTTGCTTGCACAGAACACGAAGTGTTCCTTCACATATTGCATTTAGAAATCGAAGAGTGTAGACTGGAAAAGGTATGGCGATTTCAAAAAGAAGAATGGCATCTTACCCTGGCTTTCAACTTCAGCCGACACAGCTCGGACTGATCCATCGAGGTGGGACCCTGGAATCCCCTGGAAATATTTCCAATCCGATACCTTTCATCCCTTTGCAGAAGAGGACAAAAAATATCGCTAGAAAATCCTATCGATACTAAATCCAGCAACCTATAAACACAATATTTTGACGAGAAAGTACTTTCCTTATTGTCTTTAATCCAATGCAAAATGGGTACTTCCGATGAACCCTCCAATGTAAATAATTATATAAGTAGGAACGATATATATTACTAAAATAATTCACAAAGAACGACGGCTTTAGTAGATGGTAATTGTTTATTTATATCCGTACGCTTGGACGAATTTAATTCCCAAATAGTCTCATAAGAAAATAAGATTTTTGCCTTCCTAGAAAGAAAATCTCTTCTCGAGTACAGGTGCATTTTGTGCTTTGGATATCGATAATACTCAATACTTTTGTTCCTCATTCGGCATTACTGAACCATTTTTACCGAAGTTCTATAAGATTGTTAAATGGGGCGCATTTCGTCTTCGCTTGTTCTTTTCGAGCTTTCGTGTCATGAATTTTATCCGGCTCTAGATAACGCGTATCGAAACCCTCGTTTATCTCGGTTGTACCGGTATCTCATGCGATTCTACAGAAGCACACGAAGCTTTATATCGCACACCCTAGAATTGCCCTAGTCGACATGCAAGAACCGAGGTCACGAACGTCGTACGGCCTTACGTTTGATGAATCCTAAAAGTTCACCGCCGGTACATCGTTGCACATGCATGGACTCCCCTCTTAAAAAAGAGAACCGGAATATCGGTCGGATTTTTCATCCACTTTTTAATTAAATACCAACTCTTTTAATGACCGTAACGCGTTTGTTCCTTTGTAACAATAAAAACATGAAAGTTGCCCCCATGCCTCGGTCAGAAAATGAAATTAATTTTAAAGCCCCTCTGTGCGTTTATTTTTTTANCCTAGTTACTGCCAATCGATGGAAAATGTCGAGAAATAAACGTTTGTTTCTTTATAACAATAAAAACTGTTGAAAGTTGCCCCCGTGCCTTGGTCAGAAAATGAAGTTAATTTTAAAAATATTTACCTGGTTACTGCCAATCGATGGAAAATGTCGAGAAATAAACGTTTGTTTCTTTATAACAATAAAAACTGTTGAAAGTTGCCCCCGTGCCTTGGTCAGAAAATGAAGTTAATTTTAAAGCCCCTCTGTGCGTTTATTTATTTATCCTAAAATTCTTCAAGACGAATAAAATATTTAAAAATATTTACCTGGTTACTGCCAATCGATGAAAAATGTCGAGAAATAAATTAAAATTTGTACTCACCACCACCGTCCCGCTCTTGCTTGTGACTGACAGAAAATGTCACAATTTACTTATGTTATAGTACGTAGAGACAAGCGATTCAAGACAAGATCGGCTTGTGTTCCTGCCCTGAGTGGTAATTGCCACGATCACCTTAACTAACCTAATTATACATACAGAAACCAAGGAGGGTATTTTAGCAATTTACCCAATGCTCGATTAAAGCGTTCAACCTTTCATTGGTTACCGTGTACTTAGAAAATTATCCAGTTCTAGTCGTTAGATGAGATCTCGTATTATAGTTAAGATGCAGAAATAAAAAAAAGTTAGAAATCAAAGAACGGTATATCTTGGAATCCACCGACAAAATGTCACCATTAATTGGCCTCGACATCGACTTTCCAAGGGAGCAAGTGTACATCCACATTTCGTTCTCAAGGCGAGCTTAAGTTTATTGGCAACCTCCGCGCTTGTACATATATACACGTGAATGATACACCTGCACCGTTGGAACGAAGTACATACATCTTCCTCAGGTTCGGTTTCTCGTTTACAACAGCTCGACTTCCTATTATAATAGCTCTTCTCGGCGAAGGCGGCTCTCGCGATTGCTCCACCTAAACGAAAGAATTTTAGGAATCGCCGCGAAGATCGACAAAACGACATAAGTCAAAAAGTCCCCATCCGTTGGAAGATTCTCCGCCAAGGAAGCTTCAATTCGACGAAACTACGACATCAACTTCACGTAGCCAGAATATCTCGAAAACCGTCTTCAAATAGTTGGACGTGGCCAAATTGCATAGAGGATGCGAGCTTTCGAGCTAAATTGATGCGCGATTCAGCTTGTCTTCGGCATGACGTGAATGCAGCTTACCACTGACAGACAGTAATTATTTTGCATACCCGTACGTACATAATTACCGTATAAATTGTACGTGCTTTGGACAAGCCATGGGTAGCGAATGATCGAGGTCAAAGATTCTAATCGAATGCAGCTATAATAGTATTCGGCGTGAAAATTAATAAGAATTAATTATCGTTATCGACCTGGACCATGTTAATTACATCGTCTCAAATTAGGAAAAAATTAAATTACAATATACATTTTATTTTCTTTTAAATTATTTTACTAAAAATCAAACTATTTGGATAAAGGAAAGGGATAGTCGCCATAAAGAATTACCCTCTTGTATTTCTTTGAGCCATTGCAATTTTCTCGGAATTATATTACATCACGTACGTGTATCGTATTACCGGATTAGGGTGGCACTCTAGGTCTTGTTTTCTTACGCCCACTACGGAATTCGTATAAAGTAACGAAATAACTAGGCCATCTTTACCGCCTATTAACAGAAAAACATAAATTTCCTACCTTACGCCTTTCGCCTATTACTGACGTTACATTGTCTAAAATAAGAAAAATATCCGATTGCAAGTGAGAGAAGAAAAATACCGTTGAAATGCATGCGAAGAGATTGACAAAAATCCGTCAACGTTTAATGAGTACATTTATTATTTATTATAATCCGGAAGGATGCCTTTCCCCAAATGTTGAATCACAGCTGAATGCGAGTAAATTTAAAACGACTTCCTTAACAAATTCGCAACGGGTTATTTTTCAAAGCTTATCTTTTAAAAACGTGTTAAGAGCCACGAGGTTTTCGAACAACAAACATAAAAGCAGGAAATTAAATTTCGACAAATTGCGGAATGTCCTACTCATCTTTCGGTGTACCTGTACCGTCATACCTTTACACGTGCCGTACTTTATACATCATGCGTCCTTGTTGTCGTTATAAGGACTCATTGTTTGCGCGAAATAAGTGGGTATCCATTAAACACACAATGTATACGTCCTTGTATATCTACCGAGCCCCTTCCTGGAGGAGATAGAATGAGATTAGTTACTTCGGCGTTCTCGCGCAGAGGCTCGAAAGACAGCGACGTTGTATCGGGGGAATAAAATCGTTCCCCCCGAGAAATAGGATCTTGCTTTATCCTCGACTGGCTATGAAAAGCAAAGACGAGAAAATTACCTTGTCTGCGTCGCCGTGCTTCCACGTCCTCTCATTCGGTGCGAAATTCTTATCGCTCCTGTTTTGCGACCTTTCGTCATCACGTGACTATAAAGAGAAACCCAATATTGTGTCGAGATAAATAGAAGCTGATAAGAGAACGTATGGTATAATTACTCGTTATCGACCTTCACCTTCCACTTTCTCAACAGTTCACCGAAGGTACTCATAAATTACTAGAAATTACCGACATTCCCGACCCCGAAATACATTTTTACATCGTGAAGCAATGGTTTTCGCATTAAGAAAATTTTCGATAAAAATGAATGCTCATGACTAGTTGCAAGATTTTGAGTATCTCCATGATACTTCTTCGATTCAAGTGACTGCAGACATTGTATTATAATTTTCTTGTTGTCTTATGTAGTACTAGCATCCCCGTCGCGGTTATATGCTCGCGATATGTAAAATACGAGAATTATAATTTTTTTTAATGTATTTTTATTACATGTCCATAAATTAAAAAATATTTCTATACATATTTATAAATTATTCTATGCTACTAGGGTACATCTTGTTACAGTTGTGATAAAGAAGGACAGTCCTCTGATACGGAGCTTCTTATCGAGGATCTAACCCGTGTCTGTCCGTTTGTTCTTTAGCCGCCAAGAAACCTGTCGACCGAAGAAGGAACATTTCTGACTGGATAGGCATCAGACCTCGAGTAAGGGAAGAAAATGGTGTCCTCGGCGATACTGGGAGCTGCCACTGGCACCGGGTTGGCCCTGGTTGTCGCCATGACTATCGTGGTGTACCGATACTACGCTGCCAAACGCAAGGGAAAACACTGGAGTGATCTGGACCGGTGGAGGGATCCACCACCCACAAAACCCCGACAGGAGACCCACTATCACCATTCTCATTGTGCACCCACCTCACGTGTCCTGGACTGCTGGAACAAGCCACAAAACAATTACTGTGCCGTGCAATCTGAAGTAAGTACGCCTAAGTACACCGATCACCTTCCCTTAATTAGAGGGGGTACAATCGCAATGTTATCTCGACCGTTTACTCTACTCACCCAAGGAAAATGAAATTGCGACGCATTCACTCTACAATCCTGTAAAAAGAAACTTTAGCAATGGAGGCCATGCAGACAGATCTAACAAGAGTATAGTAATTAAACTTTATGCGTTAAATAATGACTCGGTTGTCTGTACGGCGGCTTTACTGCTAAAACTTTCGCCTTTATCTTATCATTGTGCTGCACAGGATCTTGGGTTATCACCCACGTATTGCAGCAGCAAGGAAAATCATTTTGACTGAGTCAGTGGAGTATGAGATCGAAAATTGAAACTGGCGTTGTTCGAACTATGCTCTTAAAATGATTACATCTTACATCTACCGGAAAGATGTCTTTTTCGTGTCAACTTTTCGAGATGACGAAGAGATATCTAAGAAATGTCTAAGGTTCATTTTGCTAAGTATTATATATATATATCTTGTTTATGAAACTTACCTCTGAACCGGGTGTACCGAAACGTTAGAAATTTGAGGTGAATGTGGGGGTCCTAAAGAAGGCCCTGTCATTCATGAAATTTCATTTTTCATAAGAAATTTAAATATATATATACATTCATATATATTATATATTAATAAAAATAATTGACAGATCGGTAAAGTAGGTCGCTCAGTGTTCGAAGGAAGAAATCTTCGGTTTTCGGAAGTGTGGATACAGATCCAATCGGTAAAAGTATCTAATAGTGAAAATACGAATAGTAAGGAATCCACGGGAATAGTGAAAATGTCACTTAACAACCGAATATCTAAATTGCAAAATTACATTCTTCAGATAGTTTCCTTTTTATATTTTCGTTATGCCCTGAATCATTACTTTGTGTCTAAATCAGAAGATAGCAATAATTGGACAACTCAAAGCTTTGGTACCATCTGCAGTTTAATAGCAATTTTTCGAAGCTCGCTGATAATTCGGCGAAACACCAGCAGTTGTTATTTCGCAGTTAGAATATTTTACCGCGATTCAATTTTTGTATCATTCGTGTTCGTAGGTATTTACCTGTTGGAAACATTACCGACCGCCCTTTGTTAGCCCTTTCACTACTTCTTCCTTATCAGCCACACTGCTGCCTGATATTATAATTTCAAACTCAGGAACGAAAGTTCCCAGGAGTCGGTAATAGAGAATCCTTGAAGCTCGATACGTCGGTAAAGGAAGATTTCTACTCTGTTCACTCTGTCGGTTCTATTTATGTTACATCTGTAACAATGTCCCTTAGAAACATTCAACTATAATGGCATTAAAAAAGAAAAAAAGTATTCGTGCTTCTTCATCTTTCCCCTTATGTTTTTATGAGAAATTCTTATGTTTTAATACATCTCAATCATATGTGCGTAATAATCATAAGGTACGATATCTTTACACCATAATATTTTACTCATATTTGGAAGAAATCATTATGAACACAGTTACTCGTGCAATGTTCCGGAAGAATATCTTTTTTACCTTTACAAGGAGTGTAAGTGGAAAACTTTTTAGCACGTGACAAAAGGTAAAACACTGCTGACCTAGTTTGTCGCCTTAACGAATGCAAACTGATCTAATTGCCAGCTTGCTGAGGTAACCAGCGAATTGCAAACACCGGAGCTTTTAATTGATTTTGACCCATTTTTTAAACTCCGCAAAAATGAACTGTGTACATACACTACGACCTGTGTATGTACACAGGTCGTGTATACACTTATAATAACGAACTGACACTCGAAACATTTATTGTTATCGCTTTTATCTAGTACTCTATTTTTCAAATTGTAGAACATGTACGCATTGTCTACGTATTGTATACTATCCTCTTTGGTCGTCCACTGCAGTCGATATCCATCGATTATCTATATACGGCTGGCGTCGACATTAAGCTAGATTCACACTATCCAACATGTATCCGTTCAGACACGTGTCTGTGCTGACCCGACAAAATATTGTAACAATATTGTATGTGTTTCTATGACTTTGTTCACCCTGCGTATAGTGTGAATAGTGCCATTAAGGTGATGTGAAAGTGACGTCGAAGAGGTTTTGTTTATAAAGCTTTTCTCCCAACTAGGTTTACCGAATAGTTTGAAACTTTACAACGTGAATAGGAAGACTATAAGGAAGGTCCTGAAACTCATGAAATTTCAATTCTTTTCAAATTTGTTTACAGGTATTTTAAAAATAGTTAATAAAAAATGAAATTTCGGACCTACCTTAGGGTCTCCATATTCACGTTTTAAAGTATGAAACGATTTGAGACATACAGTTTGTGGAAAAGTTTTATGAACGATTGAGCTTTCGGATGCCACTTTTACATCCCCTTAAAACGCATATTATAATGTTTTGTTGGGTTGACGTCACATGTCGGAACCGATAAGTGTCGAATATATAAATAAATAAATATATCTATATTTATATAAATGTGCATGTGCTGAGTTATCAATTTTCGAGGAGGTTAAAGATTCACGAAATGATTTGCTACATTGGTACACTGCACGGATTAAGCTTTTATCGGCCGAAAAATTGCGAAAACAATATTAATAGGTCAAAGTAAAATGCATATTATATATTTGAAAATAATTGGAAACGAGGATGTGCATCTCAATCCTTCGATTGGATGTACGCCACTTTCAAGACCATTCCGTCCTTTCGATAAATTTTAGGCTCACACTTTTTCCTAATAAGCAACATTGGAGTTCGTTCCGTAGTAGCACAAAATATTTCTCCTATATTTTCTATATATTTAACGAATATCCTTCATTTTGTAAATATTCACCAGACATTTGAAATATTTGCAAAACGTTTACTTTAGAATATTATCTCTATAATATTTATATAATATTACCTCCATGTGTTTTCATGATATTTTCCTATCAGATATACAAAACATTTCGTTTCATTTTAATACAAGTATTTTTTAAATATTATCTGCCGAATACATTGTAAACGTTTTAAAAATATTTAAAATAAAAATCACACGTTTTGCTCCCATAATGAAATACCGGAACGGAAATATTAGAAGAATTTCTCGTGTTTTTTGATACCAAATGAAGTGTCCGATAATAGTCGTGAAGTAAAAAATGTATTTTTATTACATGTTCATAAATTAAAAAATATAATTTCTATATATATGTCATTGAGATTTTCAACTAATATTTCAAATATCTTCGAATGAAATCTACAAGAAATCTTAAAAAATCTGTCGCTTGAGATATTTAGCAAGAGATTACAAAGAAATATTTAAAAATTATTCTATCCTACTAGGGTTCTAATAATATGCCGTATCGCACGGCACACGAATAAAGCGTCGGTCGACCGAAATGTCACGATAATAGGATCAATACGACAGAAGGAAAACGGATATTACGTACTCGACGACAGATGGATACGAGGCGAGAACATGACCTTTGAAGAGGTTCCGGAAAATCTGTAAGCTTCAGCCCTAGGGCATTTCCGGAAAAGCAAAAGAAAATAATGAATAACGTAGTTCTTGAGTATTTCTCCCAGAAGCAAGTTCAACTTTTTAAATGTAGAGATTTTAAAGTCAGAGATTGAAGACCGAAAAGAAACTCGAAAGAGTAATTTCGAAGACAAACGCGGGATTTTCACTTGTGAGTAGATGAAGTTTCGAGGTAATCTTGAAAAAATGGAATGAAAGGGTAAAAAGAAATAATTGATCGGATCGAACTTCAACGTGGCGTTTCCTCCTAGAGAACGAAACGCCTTTTCCGCTGGTTACTTCGAGGTCTTTTCCGTCGACACTCACACGGCGTGGATCTCGAGTTCCAGCCGAGAATATAGAATCTGGAATTGCGGATCGATACAGCACTCCGGCGATAGCTATCCTAGCTTTCTAAAGCAACACGTAAGTGGACTAACGCTGCAAGAACCCAAGTATTTTCGAATAAATTCCTGCAGCCCCGTGATCGATAATTAACAGTCGCATACAATTATCGATCGGATTGCGATTATTAAGAGGGAAATGTAAAAATGCATGTTCGACATAATACACCAATCGCATACAATTATCGATGGAATTGCGATTATTAAGAGGGGAATGTAAAAATGCACGTTCGACATAATACACCAATCGCATACAATTATCGATCGAATTGCGATTATTAAGAGGGGAATGTAAAAACGCATATTCGACATAATACACCAAGATCATTGGACGAGGAAATCATTTTTTCCGCTGTAATTTAAATTAATGGAAAGTGGGAAAGGATTATCAATCTAAGGAATTAATCGTTATGTTAATGAAGTATGTTTATTTAATTCCAATTTTTTGTCGCGTTTGCCGGAAGGTACTTTTGTGAAAAATGCGCTTGGAGAGCACTCATTATAAGAAGAAACCTTCCCCCGAGCGAATGAGTACAAAGGCAAATGTAAATTACATTAAAAACTAGATAAATTGCTTCCTACTACAGTTCTCTTAACCAAGATCATGTTCAAAATATTAATTTAAATACACTAATCAAATAATGTGGAGCCATTTCAAATGTGTGTAGAAGGGTAAAATAAATAGTTATTAGGTTAGGAACGTTTTCGAAAATAGATGCAAAGTTTAATATGCACTTGAAAATTCATACGTTTATCTCGAATTAAATAAAATATTAATAAAATTAAATAAAATTATACTAATTAAATAAAATTAATAAATTTAATTCTAAATAATAAATCTCTGGAAATATCAAAACTTTCGATGTTGGTCGGCATACTATTCGAAGTTTTTTAAACAAACATCGTTTTCTTTTTACAAAGCATCGTACCACGATAACTTAAAAATGTTTTTCAATATCATCCCCTGTAGTATAAAGGCCTTGTCGATACAATGGTGAAAATCGCTTTCATCGAACCATTTCCAACGACCTTCTGCACGGGTCCTCCTTCAAATTGGGAAGACGTACAAGCAACTCGTGACTATAGATCCAAGATATAGGA